TGGTATTCAAGCTTGTTAAGGTAATTGTATTTTGTATTCTTAACAATTCTCATTAAAAGATTTATACATGACATTTATTTTTAACTAGTTTGTTCATAATGGCTACAATAAACGAAGCCAAATTGCGGTGTTAACTTTATATCTCATTAGTATCGTTCTAATGTTCTTTTGCCTTGCGCAAAATATGGTATATTTCTTTTGAAACTCAGTACTTATGAAAAACATTCAGAATTTTGAAGGAAAGTTTGCTAATTTTACATGAATGTGATCAAATCAGGCCAGGATTCCCAATTGTATGTATTCAAATACTGATTAAATCTGTGATATTATATTGCGTCAGCTTCAAATAATATATATTTTTATTTTTATTTTCGTTTACTGAATTACCGAATTTTTTTTTATGGCATACAAATCTACTTTAAGTACTCTTTCGACAAGTATTAATGGTTTAACTCAAATCGCAAATGAAGTGAAATCTATTTTAACTTCTTCTGATGTTAAGGGCCAACTTGAAACAACAAAACACTCTATTGACTCTTTGAAGCGTCGGCTTGATATTTATGAACAAAACCAAAATAAATTTGTAACCTTTATGCAACGTATTAGTACTGAACATGGAATTAAAATACAACGTATTGAAGATACACTAATGACCGCAACAACCATATTGGAAAATTTGTCAACAACAACAACTGTACTTCAAACTAATATGAATAGTCTATTACCCTATATTCAGAATCGTGAAGACACTACTAACATTTCAAATATAACAAACAATTCTCCACATACTCTTACCACCAGAAATCCTATACTTACCGCAAAAATTCATGATAAAATGCGTTATTTTAATGGATTCGATGATTCTTAACCTCCACTCAATAATAATTATATATATGACCTTGAACTTGGTCCTAAAAATCGGAAAAACAAAAGAATTACTCAAAATTATGTGAATCTTTTTATTAAAAAATTTGACGTCCAATTCGAAGAAACACGTATTTATTATAACATCGTTTAAAAAAATTTACATTCTTATCTAATATTTTAAATCTTTTCGTAGAAACTAATAAGAAGTGGAATGAACCTACAATTACTGAAATTGCCGAAGCCTATTTCAAAACCTTGAAAAAGAAACGAAATACTACCCCAGCTGTAAAGCTTTTGAATAATCAATGTGCACGGCGCCGCAAACAACGTGAAAGAGTAATATATATAACTAATATAAATTATAATACAAAATATTTTTATTAACATCACTTTTATTGTTACTTAAGAAATCATCTAATCGTCTAGCCGCTTTAAACAAAATTCCTGAAAATCAACTAAACCATCCTAAAAGTGAAATTGAAAAGTTATTTTCTTTTGAAGCAACATCACCCGAAGTATCTGATGCTGAAGAGATGCCGATAGCTATTCCA